GCGATTTTGCTAATACTGGGGTTAGAATGAATGCCGGGATTGGCCGAGTCGCTCGAGAGGCATGTTGCTTCACGCGGCCTCAATCTTTACTTGTTATTGTATATGTTGTAGTTCAATTTTATACTTGGTTCAAATTTTATTTTCCTTTGTTCTCGGTTATGTTGATGTATGATAATGAGTTTGAAACAAAGGAAAATAAAATTTGAACCTCCAAAAGCTTGGCAAGTTTCTTTAGATCTGTCTGTTTACAAACCTTTTTGCTTTTTATGACGGGTCGAGGTGATCATTTTTCTATATGGGAATGTGAAAATAACCGTAGACATCCCGAAAGGTACAAAATTAGTAACGAAAACCTTTTGCTTTTAGGATGTCTACGGTCATTTTCACATACCCACACAGATCAAAGATGCCCTCGGCCCATCATGGAAAGAAAAAGGGTTTGCTAACACACAACTTGGAGGGAATTAGCGAAGCTTTTTTCGGCTCTGCATCTCCTACAACAACACCAAAAATCGAGCCACGCGAAACAACAAGCCCCTTGAGTGACCTGGCACTGGCTTTGAACGAAGTATTAACAAACTCAGTACCAGACTACCAGGTCCTTCAGCTTGAGGGGGGCAAGTTGTTCGCGCTCGTGGGATTACGAACAGCTTCGCAAATTATAAAAAAAAAAGTGTAGTTTTGCAAACCTTTTTCCGTTCCACGATGGACTAAGGAGAGAACATGTAATAATGACAGAGGATATCCTGAGAGGTGCGTAAATTTAAAGAAAACCTTTGTAGTCACATGTACTGGTAGCAGCAGTAGTAGTAGTAGTAGTAAAACCTCAACTCGGATTGAAGAGTATAGTCTACTAGTGTATAAGCACTATTATTAAAAACTGAATCATTGGATAATGCTATTCAAGACTTTCTATTGGCTTATCCATTATGGTATATGAGCCAATATACCATAATCTATAAATATGGTGAGCATATGCATCAGCTTAAAATTAAAAGGGAGCTGAAAAATTTAAGATTTGTCTAATATCTAGGGGGCGTTTTTAATAAAACAATTATTCCACTCGCGCTTGATTATAGCCAACTCGGCACTACTACATGCCTCGTCGGCTATCTATCATCTCATATCCAACGTGCACTCATGGAATAATTGTTAAATATCTCTGAGAAATAAATACAGTGAAAAATATATGTACAATTAATGAAAAAGAAAAAGAGAACAATAAGATGTATATATATGCTTGTAAAGTTATCTATTCAATACAGTCAAATAAAGATAGGAATAATCAATCTAGCTAGTTTATAAAGTCTAGGCAGTCATTTCTAAAATAGGTTATGCTAAAGGTTGTTCTTAAGTCATCGTTTAACATATTCAATAATTTGGGCGCAAGAAATTTGAAAGAGTTTTTCTCCCATAAGGTGCAGTATTTACGCGAGGTAACTGCAACTTGTAACCTCTATGCCCATTAATGTTGGTTCTAGGTGTAAATAATGCTGATATACATGTAGGCAAGTGTGGCTGCTTGAAATAACTTGTGAACTAAAATCAATATATCGAGAAGTCTTGGACGCAAAACGTAAATACATTCCAAGAAAGATCTGGAGGTTGAAGGGAGATGACGACAACTATTGCTTCAGTGAATTAATTCCCTTTGGAAATGGTTGCATGTTTCATTTTGAAACAGATAAACTGGCTTATCCAATTTTTTGTCTCAATATTCGAAATGCTTTTGATATATGAGAAATTGCACAAAATTTTTATAATAAACTGAGGCATTCAGTGATTTGCTAGTTCATGTTTTATTAAGACAGTTTCTCAGCGGATATGGTATTAGTCATGCGATCTTTATAGAACAATCGGAAAGAGGAAGGACCCCTGCATGCGAGGCAATGTGGCTGTGCTTTTTGAAATGATGCTAGAATGTAAAAACTTGAAGTTAACAAAAGTTATTTCTCGCTGTCAGATCTTGAATCAAAACAGAATATTCAAAACTTACCTATCGATCCCGCAACGCCAATAGCACGCACAACTAAAGACTTGATCGACGACGGCAAAGAAAACGAACTACCATTAAGAAAGCTAAGTCAAATTGAAACCTTAAAGATCAAAGGGAAAAATCGTAGCCCAACTGTATTGCAATGCTACGCAC